TTCATACCGTCGAACTCAAATGTACAAATATATACATGACCTTGTGTGAAATCTAAACAATATAAACATAATTTTGCCGGAATCTTTGTACCCCAGGTTCATGCTTCAAACCACTACTTTGCCTATCCCAGAGGACGAGGTGATATAGATGGAATATTGCCTGCTCTGGCATAAACTACCTTCACTGATATAGTCATGTCCATGTGCCGGATCAGAAGTATTTGACAGGAGTACCTACTTGAGTTACAGGTTTTCATGGAAGTTGGTTGGTTGGTTGGTTGGTTGGTTGGTTGGTTGGTTGGTTGGTTTGATGTTTAAAGCCGCACTCAGCAATATTCCAGCTATATGATGGCGGTCTGTAAATAATCGAGTCTGGACCAGACAATCCAGTGATTGATATCATGAACATCGATCCACGCAATTGGGATCGATGACATGCTTCAACCAAGTCAGCGAGCCTGACTACCTGATCCCGTTAGTCGCCTCTTACGACGTTTTTGATGTAACAGCAGAATAACATCATTTATTCAATTTCAGCCTTGAAATGACACGATACGTTTGAACAGAGGGAACGCTAGCGTCCCTTTCGAATAGGATAAAGGTTTTAGACTAATTAATTGAAAACAAAGAAAAATGTCGGATGTATTGAGAGCATGAAAAATGCAATGAAAATGGCTGCTTTCGAACGAAATATTTTGGAAATCGATATCTGTTTTCAAATACGATATGTATAAGGTTTACTATCCCGGAGCAACCTGAAATATATGTTGATAAAGAAACTAAACATGAAAATGTCAAAGGCTCAGTCAGTTTCAGTGATAAACCTATTATCACCCGGCGAATTTCATATCATGCCAGGTATCATTCCTCGACTCATATGAGACCTAACGGCCTCGATCTGATATGTGTGTCTCGCTATCATACCGGGCACGGTATGGATATCCTAATTCTACGTAAGTTTGTTGCACAACCCCATCTGTCGGATTCCGAAGGATACACTATTGAGTGAGTGTGTTGGGTTTAACGCCGCTTTTAACAGTATTCCAGTTATATCGCGGCGTGTCAGCTTAATGTGGGAGGAAAGCCAGAAGTGATGCAGGTCTCAGACGTTTACCACTTCGATGAAACCCACGAGCGCTGGTATGGTGCTGACAAACCTAGAAACATAATCGGGGCGAACCGGGATTCGAACCCACAATCATAGGTTTCTGGCGTTCCAAGGGACGCAACTCTGCACAGCGACTCGCGGCGCCTTAGACGACTGGGCCACCCATGCCCCCGGATACACTATTGAAAGTCGTTGCGATAAACATAACGTCAAACTAAAGAGAACATAATGCCATACAAATGTTGAAAGAGGCCATTTCTTCAGTCTGACCAACTCATATTCTATTATGTCTTTAGCAGGGCTTATAATAACAATATTGAATCACGCCTGAAAGATTCGAAAATATATCTAGATATGTCGTGAATACAGTAGTAATACCACTTACTAGAATTACCCTGACACAACGTAGTTTTTATTTGCACACAGACTTAAACGAGGTTGAGGGTTCGTTTGAAAAGCCTTCGATGTGACAATTCTCGATTGAGCATACAGGAAATTTAACACGTGTTTCTAGGTAATCATCGGTGCGACAGCACAAACGATTTATATCTTTCTAAGTGACAAGTCAATGAGGTTCCCTTGGAAAAGCTAATCATCTATAGGTACATAAATATATCTAATGAAACACATTTTAATAAATTAAACAGATATTGTTCAACACCGTTAGTACTAAGAAATCGTTTCGGTTTCAGAAGCTTTGTTTTTTTATCTTTATTAGAATATTTACTCGTGTGAAAGTTGGCTAGATGTCAACCATGCAAATAGAAGAACATTCCGATTACCTCAGCACTGTCATACATACTTGTACATGTATTGCAAAACAAAATTGTTTAGGTTTTAGAAAATTAGGTGTCTGTCCTAAATATATTCATCGAAAGTAACTTTCAACCTAAACAATACTTACTGATTATGACTGCTGTCACAACATACAAACCACAACAAAACATCCGTATCGAGATATAGGACGTGTAATGTTAACAATGCACTCCTTAAGATCGTAAAAAACGACCACACACGTGTGGACCCAAATGTATAAGTTTTCAGTGACACGGTAACTTTGCAAAGACGTTGTGAGGTAAAATGGGGTTTAACGTGGCGTTCAAGATAATTGCACTGATATAGCGACGTGCATGCACCTGTGTGTCGGGGCTGATTTTACTACTCTGATTTTATAGTGCTAGCCCACTGAGATGTCATGCCACGGATTAACATGAATTACCCACTCGGACCCAATGTTCTGACTCCGAGCTGACAAGTCCTTGTCAGACTGACACTGACTGACTGACTGACTATCTGACTGACACGTTTGATACTGGCTGACTGACTCACACGTTTGATGAAAGCGAAACATCGAGGTGTAATACGAGATCACTGAGACACTAAAAGAAATCACAGTGAACTTTATGGTATCTATTTGGTGACTGAATAAAAAAAGCGCCTCACCTCGGTATATATTTCTTCCTTATCTGAACTCAAAGGTAACCACACACGGCACGTACTTAACCCACTTAACCGTTGCTGTTATGTCATACGACTTGCAGCTTATCTGAAGCGTCGGGGGAACAGGTGACCCAGTTGTCCAGATACCGTTATTTTCTGTGAAGAGTTTGTCCCTAGGGCACTCCAGAAACCCATGATCGTAGGCTGGAATACCGTTTCGTCCCCATTATGAGTTTAGGTTTGTCATGTGTTCGTGGGTTCAACCAAAGTGATAAACATATGTGACCTGCATCACTTCCTCCCGCATCAAGCTGACACGCTGACTGAAATAATGTATTGTTTAAAGGGGCGTTAAACCCTAGTCACTCACTATCTGACTGTCGTCGATCAAGGCAATGTAGTTTTTCATCTTGCCTTTTATGTTTCTGGCATGGTGACATGATGACCATATCAAAGCACTGAATAGTTGATACAAAAGCTGTATAATCATATCGGCATGTAGATTAAATGGAACAGTTGGAATATTGTGACGTCACTGTGTATTGCTAAGTCCAGAAAAAGTTTATGTGAATATTCATATCCAGCAGTCAATCTGCAGTGGCAAAGTTTGTCTTAGACATTAATGCAAATATATATACTCACACGCAAAGGAAACGCAAGTGGTTTTAAGCAAATAGGTAACAAACACGGAACCATAAATTGATACGAGTTTTTGCATGTAGTGAAGCCTGATGGTGTTATCAATATTTTTGGTTGCATTTTGGAAGCCCCGAGTAAAAACGCAACGTAAAAAACGAATCGCCAAAACGCACCATTTCAATGAATATGTGGGTATCATGCAACCATTTCTCGCGAAATCGAAAATGCACGAACTGTATTGGGTATAAATCTGTGGCCGATTCTTGGACCTACCACTCCTTGGTCAACAATGCCACGCCTAACTCTAAATCAGAGAAACCAGGCTATCAGACGTTTGGAAGCTGGAGAGTCTGTCCAAGATGTTGCCCGTCATTTCAACGTGAACATAACCACAATTTACCGTCTCCTGCATCGATACAATGCTACACAGACCACAGATGACCTTCCTCCGAGCGGTCGCCCTAGGGTCGCCACACCTCGACAAGATCGACAGATTACCCGTCAACACCAGCGACATCCGTTCCTAACTGCAAGTGATAGTGGTCGACAGACCATAGGAACACATAATCGACACAGTAGCCTGGACACTAGGATCCGACGTCTCCATTCCAACAACCTCAGATGTCGTCCTGTTCTCCAACCACGGCATCGACAAGAACGACTTCAGTGGGCACAGGATCATCGCAATTGACGTCATCGTGAGTGGAGGCGTGTCATCTTCTCTGATGAAAGTCGCTTTTGTGTCTCCCATGCAGACGGAAGAGTCAGAATGTGGCGTCGTCGAGGTGATCGTTTCGCTGACAGAAACGTTGTGGAAAGGGACCCATGGGGTGGACAAAGCGTCATGACATGGGCAGGGATTGGACTTAATGCGAGACTTGGACCCATGTGCTTTCTGAATGTTGGTCAAGGTCGGGGACACGGCCTCACTGCTCAGCGGTATATCGACCAAGTGATCAGACCCCACGTTGTTCCATTTTTTGCACAACATCAACAACACATTTTCCAGTAAGACAACGCTCGTCCTCATGTTGCCAGAGCTACCATGGCCTTTCTGCAGCAACACAACATCCGTGTCCTACCGTGGCCAGCCCTCAGCCCTGATCTGAACTCCATCGAACACTTTGGGGATGAGGTTCAAAGGCGTCTGCACAATGTGCTCCCAGTCCCTACAACTGTCGACGAACTACGCACAGTTGCTCTGGATATGTGCAGGAGGATCCCTAGGGCCTTTACAAATCGTCTGATACATTCAATGTACAGGAGATGTGTGGCAGTGATCAATGCTAATGGTGGTCACACCAGGTATTGACTGACATTTTGGGTATTGACCCGAAACTGTGTAAGCCCCTAACATTTGAAAAAACAACAATTATGTCATATGCCTTTTAATCCATTAAACTGTCTTCAGTCAAAGTTTTGTCAATCCTGCCCTATTAGTATTTCTTGTCTTTTCTGTTGAGAATAAATAACACGTATACTGCATACTCGACTTGCGTTTCTTTTGCGTGTGAGTATAGAAACTAGTAATACTTCCCTGACATGTGTGTCTTCAAAATGTTATTTGCACCAGTACAAATATATTTGGAATCATTGTAACATGGAAGCAATTTTAGAAGATTTGTCACAATAATCTGACGATTTGATCTTTCGTTTCAACAGAGATGAGCCCATAAAGTTTGTCATTACTTGGTAAGCAACGTGTAACTGCACGAATAAAGGTACCCCATAACTAGAACAGTGTTAATCTGATGTGTAGAGTACCTGCACACTGTTTTACCTGTACACTGGCTGACGTCTAAATATAGCATGTCACATACGTAACAACGATGTGCCTAACATCTCGGTTATGATGCACACTTGGAGATCGGCTAGCGCCGAGCCAACACGGACATACATCAGATAGTTTCTGGTATGTATGATAATAAGCTATTTTGTGGGTTGTCCGGAGTTTGAATCTTCACAATCATGTTCGATTATATAAAACATGGTATGGGTCATTGTAGACATCGATACGTAACTGTCTTGTTCCTTTCATAGGAGAGGCACTATAACGGTAAAATGACTTTACACTTTTGTCTCACATTCTTTTTTGAAAATGCATTACTGGTTTCAATTATTTATTAAGAAAAATGTCAATTATTGCAAAGTATTGTTGAATAGCATTTGCATATTTTATCTGTAGTATAAAAATAATCCAAATATCATGTCATTATGTAGGACAGAATTTGAATGTTATAATATTTCAATTACGATTTTCAGTGATACACTATTATCATTTTCATATCAGTTAAGAGTGTTATGACCAATAGAATCTGTTTCGTTGGATAATCAATGGTCTTGACGTTTTGTATTAAATGTCAGTGAAAATGTAACGTCAATATTTCAGCCATGTCGATACCTGTACACTAATAGCCTACAGGTAATATAATATAAAATTTGTTAATCCACATGACCCTATATATATTCGAGGTTAAATTAATCTCCCCAATATGAAAAAAAAATCCATCTTGCATGTTAAGCTGCACTTGGTTTATCTTTGCTTTTGAACAACATAGCCATGCAGCTACAAAACCATTTATTCCTGATCCATGAACTGTCATGTGCGATAACAAAACGTTATGTTGTTATCATTGGCTCGTGAATCTAGGGGGTATTCAAAGCTACTAGTCAGTAATGTATAATGCTACCTTTCAAGAACAACGGTACAGGGCGAGGACAAAATTGAAATATCCATAAACAACTGTAAAAGCCAAACTCGATGCTCTATATTTTACCTGTGGTTGTGTCATGTATAAGGGGCGGTCGGGTAGCCTGGTGGTTAAAGTGTTCGCTCGTCACGCCGAAGACCCGGGTTCGATTCCCGACATGGGTACAATGTTTGAAGCCCATTTCTGGTGTCCCCTGCCGTGATATTGCTGGAATATTGCTAAAAACGGCGTAAAAGCATACTCACTCACTGTATCATGTATAAACATTCATAAAGCTCTTCTAATATGAGTTTAGTTACTTGCCCATAATGAAGTGAGAGATAATGTATGCCTTCATGGCATTTGCATGTACTATTTAATGCCTGTTAGTGTTGAAGTTACATGTAATTGTTTGTACATTGTAGCTCAAGGCAAGGTAACTTATCACTCAGCTTTGTTTTGCAGGAGAAATGTGACTGCCATGTTTATGCACTGAAGATTGAATTACACACTTGGAGACCGCCCAATACAGAGGTCATTGTGACACCACTAGACACCCGAAAAAAGCTCGTTTCAGGTATGAGTGCAATATAAACGACCTGCCTATCATGAATTACGTCCTCGATATGCTCATGAGGCTCTCCTTTGACATGTATTGATTAATTGTACTGTTGCAAATGACATTATGAAAGCACACATGTCAGGGAAGTATTTATAGTTTCTATTTATTTGCATTTATGTCCGAGACAAGCTTTGCGGATTAACTGCTGGATATGAATATCTACATAAACTTTTTTTTTAAGTCTGTGAGGAGGTTATGCATGTTTCTTGGACTCTAAAAACAACACCCACATTTGTACATTGCAAACCCAATCTGTACAAAATACAATTCATAGGTTTATGATTTTATCGGAAGGAAATGTAATTATGTACCACTTAATCTACATGATATGATATGTTACGAGAATAAACAGATCTGGTTACAACACCTACTAAGCAGGAGCAGATATAGTGTCACAGTGACCTCGTATGACACCTCGTGGGTGCGCTGTCACCAAACCTGTGGCAAAAACGAGTTACCGCCGTGTAAACAGTAACTTGCAATAAATGTCAGATTGGCTTTTGGTCATATCACATCAAAACGAATGCCTCTTTAAACCTCGAACAATACATGCGTATTGAGGACTGTGCAGATGACGAAGTCAAACTTGTGACATTGCTAGGTGGTATAACCCCTATTGTAGAGGATATGAGCCTTGACAGATGGGCTGAATTCATATCTTCTGTATCACGAGACATAAGCTCCTGGAACCTGCGATCACTGCTCTATCTATGGACAGTATATAGCAAAACCAGGACCAGGACATGTAAATATTCAGTATTGCCAATTTCTCTGCATAATATAATGTTCGTGTAAATATGCTGTGTTAACATGATTCCAAATGTATATCACTCTCCGAAATTAATGGAGGAAATAAAGATCATTCATTCATTCATTCATTCATTCATTATGTATTTCTTATATGGGAGTTGTAACATTATTTCAACACGACGGAAGTTAGAAGCCTCAAGTAATACTTAATTCAAATAGTATCATGCGATTACTTTTGGTGTCACAGTATACCTCTTTGTTACACATAGACTACACAAATATTTAGGATTAGTCTCGGTCCGAAATGCTCTTTCAGACTGCTGACATGGTTACAGTGTGTGAAGCCCATTTCTGGTGTCCCCCGCCGTGACATTGCTGGAATATTGCTAAAACCATACTCACTCACTCAAAGCAAGCACACTCGAAATCATTGTACAGTAATATACTGTATTGATGAATCTGAGCGATACTATCGAAACACAGCCGCCAGGACCCTCAAAATTTGTTGACATTATTGTATTGACACAGCGTTGATACATATTATACTTGAAAGAGGTTATACTTTGGCATACCCTGACGACAAAGTAAACACACTGAGAGCACGTTATCTACGTTACTGTTAGGTCAATCTAACCGATGTGTTGGTTCAGTTAATAATTCAATTTCGTTTACACCCTGTGTATTCATGTAATATTATATTCATGACAATGATATTGCAAGATATTTATAACATTAGTCAAAGTGAAAATATACCATATTGTTATATTCCCTCAAAACGTCAATGGACTTTATCATAATGCACTTGGACTTCGTTTTGCATGCAGCAGTATATACGCGTTTAAAGTTTAATTTGGCTAAAGTCAACAGGTTCTATCAATACAACTCATTGTATAAATGGTAATGGCGGTTGGAAAGCTCATAGGCAGAGTTTAAAGCATTCGCTCCAGGTTAAATATGTTAAATATTCCTGGTGTCCTCACTCACTCACTCACCTACCTCGAAGTGCTGTCTTTTTGAACTGATAGTACATTGGTGTGAAAAAACATGTTTATGAGTATACATGTATTTATATAGTCGGTTGACTAAGGACGGGGATAATCTTTAGCGGTAAAGCTTTCTCAAGTATTCACTTCCTCACACATCACGTGCAAATGAGAACAACAAACAAGAACATAAAACTATCAATACTGTTGTGCTGACATCCTCAAGTGCGTGAACGTACATGTAATTTGTCCGGTTGCGCTTGGGTTGTTTTCTGTTTATATTAATTAAAACCTATTTCAAATCATTCCAAGCATATTTTGAAATATTTAACCTTTTTGTGATTAATTAATAACTTATTGCGATCAAAATAAATGAGTAAATATTTACTTAAATTGCACTCCAGAAGTTCCTAAAGGTTAACCGACACGGTAGTATTGGAATGGGTGTAAGGGCGACACACCGAACTATCACATGTCGCAGTTAAAAGATTTGTGTAGCCTATATGTAACAAAGAGGCATACTGTGACACCAAAGGAATTGCAAGATACTACTTGAATTACCTATTGCTTGAGGCTTGTAACTTCGGTCATGCTGAAATAATGTTACAATTCCAATATTAGAAAGATATATCAATCATTGACATTCGTTTTGATGTGATATTACCAAAAGAAAATATGACATTAATTGCAAGTACATGTAACTGTTGACATATCGGTAACTCACGTTCGGCGCACTCACAGGGTGTAATACGAGGTGACTGTGACACTATGAAATACCCTATCTGCTCGGGTAGGTAAGTGTTCTAACCAGATCTATTAATTCTCGTAATCCGTATTGTGAGTGTCTGACAAGGTTCTATCATTCAACATAAGCTGGTTGAAGAGGTAAGATGTTATACCACTCGTTTACTCTTCTTTTCAGTTGGAAGATGTTCGTATGGCATTTGAATATTAATTCCATTTACTTATTTGATGACCAACAATCCAAATTTGTTTATTGTGGCAACGTTGACTAGTTTCAGTATATGTTTCATATTTAGAGAAATATTCCAATTGTTTGGCAAGTAGTGTTTTATTTAACACATAAGCTACAAGTTAAAGCTATGTTTAAATGTACAAATGTATTAATCCACATAGCACCTGGGCGAAAGGATAACAAAAGCATTTGAACGAATGGGCCCGTATTCCTTCACGTAAAACACACTGTAGACCTATTTGTCACGTTTGTAAGCTTTGATTCGAATTACTCAAGTATCTTCACTGAGACAAAATGACTTGTTATGAATATCCGCATACCAGTGGCATGTAGTTTATCTCTGGTCTTGTAAAAGTCTCATGCAATCTTTGATGTATTGTTCATATTCAGTAAGTTAGCACGTAGTTTGTTGGTACGCTGACGCAAGACCAGGTTATAATGAACGCCAACATGCTGTAAGATTTCCCCAGAAGAATGTATTGTCCCACAGTCTGCATAGGTATTATATGTATTTGACCATGCGATACTAACACGTGACTGATATAGTCCGTGAACTCCGCACATTTGTTTATGGTATTCGGGATATTATGTCACTGCGGTGTATATATCATCCTTGTCTGAAGTCAAAGCTAAACACACATGGCAGGTACGTAACCTACTCCTCCTTTACTGTTATGTCTTCCGACTTACATATTATCTGACTTGTCGGGGGTACAGGTGGCCCAGTCGTCTAAATCGTTTGTCTCTAGCGCACATCAGAAACCTATGATCGTAGGTTGGAATCCCGGTACGCCCCGATTATGTTTCTAGGTTGGTAGCACCAAACCCATGCTCGTGTGTTTCACCAAAGTGGTAAACATCGGAGACCCCGGGTGTTCCTCCCACATCAAGGTGACACGCCGTGATACTGTAACTGAAATACTGTAATGTTCAAAGCGGCGATAAACCCATTTCACTCACTATCTTACTTGACGTTGAGATACACAACTAAGACTTATGTAATTTTTCATCTTGCCTTGTATGTTTCTGACATAATAGCATGATCACATCAAAGCACTGAATAGATGATAAAAAGTTGTATAATCGTGTAGATTAAGTGGTACATAATTATATTTTTCCCCATTAAAATCATAAACCTATAAACGGTATAGTGTGCACATACAGTTTACAATATACAAAAGCGGGTGTTGTTTTTGGGGTCCAAGAAACATGCATTATCTCCTCACAGACTTCCATGTTCAGAAAATAAATTAATATGTAGATATTTATATAGTTAATCCGCGAAGCATGTCTCGGACGTAAATGCAAATAAACAGAAACTATGTTTCCGGCATTAATACATGATCATATTAAAGAACTGAATAGTTGATACAAACGTTGTATCATCATCTACTTCATGTAGATTAAATGGAACATATGGTGTATAGCTTATTGTCACTGTGGCATTAACCTCGGTACCTCGGTAATCATTCACACTTGGAGGTCGTTTACTGCTGATTACCACACGGAAGTCATTGTGATACGAACATAGGTCAGGTTCTGGTGTCTATGATAATGAGACATCTTGTGGGATGTTCCAGTTTTAATCTTCACAAGCATGTTCGCTTATATATAAGTCATGGATCTTATGATTGTCCAAAATATGAGTCATTGTAGACGTCGATACGTAACTTAATGTGTCTCATTTTCTTGGTTTATGAGGGACGATATAAATGGTTGTCTGACTTTACATATTTTATCAGATACGTTTCTTGATAATCTATAACTGGTTTCAATTATTTATTTGACATTAAGCCAATCTGTCATTTTTTTGCAAAGTTATGTTGAATATTTCAAAGTTACCTCTAATATAATAATATCCACATATCATGTCATAGACAAGTTATTATTGTTATAATGAGTGTTATGACCAGTGGAATCTGTTTCGTTGGATAATCGATCTCTGGCGTTGACTTTTTATATTAAATTTCAGTGAAAAATTAAGGTCAATATTTCAGCCATGTCGATATCTGTATAGCCTACGAGTAATTATAAACTTTGTTAATCCACATGACCCCTATATATATATTCGTGGATAAATTAATCTCATCATTATAAAAAAAACACATTTCCCTGATGCATATAAAGCTGCACTTGGTTCAGATTTGCTTTTGAACAACATATCCATGCAGCTACAAAAGAAATTGTATGATTATTTATATGATCCATGAATTGACATCTACGATTATACAGCGTCATGTTGTTATCATTGGTTCGTGAATATAGGGGGTAACCAAAGTTACTTGCCAATATTGTATAATGCTACCTTTCAAGAGCGAACAAATACAGAGCGATAACAAAATTGAGATAACCATAACATACTGTAAAAGTTATACTCGATGTTATATATGTTACCTGTAGTCGTATGATGTGTAAACATTCATAAGCCTCTTCTCATATGACTTCAGTTACTTGCCCATAATGAAGTGAGAGATAACGTATGCCCTCATGTCATGTGCATGTAATACTTAAAACCGATGTTTGTACATCGTAGCTCAGGGCGAGGTCACTTATCAGTCAGCTTTGTTTTGCAGGAGAAGTGAACATGTATATTACATGTTTACGCACTGATGATTGAATTGCACCCTTGGCGACCGTCCAATACAGAGGTCATTGTGACACCACTTGACACCCAATACAAGCTCGTTTCAGGTATGAGTGTACTATAAACGAACTGTTTATCATAAATTACGTGCAGATATTCTGCTGGAGATAATATGTGGAGAATGCGTAAAAATTCTCTGTTTTCAGATATTTACCTAAGCAATCAATATTTCAACACTAATTCAATAAGAACATTATGCATCAAACGCTACCAACAGTGCATACTTAAGGAAACGATAATGTATGCGTTTGGCTGGATTGTAGATAGTTGTACCAAATGCTTCTCATCACATAAAGATTTTCTGAGATTTAAAGAAACATAAAGGATGCACATGCGCGTATGTAGACCTGAGCACTTCGATATGAACATACATGTTTTTATAGCACACAACAGCGACGATGTGCATAGCTCTCTTCGAGTAAGGTGTAGCGCTGTCAGCATCTATGTATGTTCTACTTGTGTCAAAAACAAAGCAAACAAAATAATATTTTAGAAATAGTTTCATTTTTCGAAGGTTTTGAAGAAATGATAATAATACAGTAAATGTTAAATTGTGCTGGTACATAAGCAGATATACAACTAAGACTTATACAGTTTTTCATCTTGCCTTGTATGTTTCTGGCATAATAACATGATCACACCAAAGCACTGAATAGTTGAAAAAAAGTTGTATAATCATATCATGTAGATTAAGTGGTACATAATTACATTTCCTCCCGATAAAATCATAAACCTATAAATTGTATATTGTACAGATGGGGTTTACAATGTACAAATGCGGGTGTTGCTTTTGGAGTCCAAGAAACATGCATAACCTCCTAACAGTCTTCCATGTTCAGATAAAAAAAACATTATGTAGATATTCACATCCGGCAGTTAATCCGCAAATCTTACATGATCTTACATGATCACATCAAAGCACTGAAGAGTTGATACAAAAGTGGTATAATCATAGCATGCAGATTAAGTGGAACATATGGTATATAGCTTATTGTCACTATGGCATTAAAAGACACACACACACACACACACACACACACACACACACACACACACACACACACACACACACACACACATACACACCTGACATCTATTTATTTTGTTAGAACGTCAAATAAAGTCCATAACTACATTTCTCTCAGATAAAATCATAAACCTGTAAACGGTTTACTGTACACGGTTTACTGTACACGGCTTACGGTACACGGTTTACAATGTACACATGCGGGAGTCCAAGAAAGATCTACTATGTAGATATTCATTTCCAGCAGTTAATCCGCAAAGCTTGTCTCGGACATGCAAATAAATAGAAACTATAAATACTTCCCTGACATGTGTGCTTTCATAATAAATGGGCTCTGATTCAATCAATTCATGGTTATCTGATACCAGATCTGAGCTGTTGACCTGCACACTAGCGTACATCTACATACAGCATGCCACACATGACCATGGTGTCCCTGGCATGCATGCAAAGACGTACCTCGGTAATCATTCACACCCGGAGGTCGTTTACCGCGGATTACAACACGGAAATCATTGTGACACGAACACAGGTCAGGTTCTGGTTTGTATGGTAATGAGACATCTTGTGGGATGTTCCATTCTGAATCTTCACAAGCATGTTCGCTTATATATAAGTCATGGGTCTTATGATTGTCCAAAATATGCCCCCTAGACATTTACATATCATGACTACACGGTAATTATAATCAATTTGTATGTAATAATTATGTCAAAGTAATAATCAGGTGTAAAATAACAATACAAACAAAATATCCTATTCTGTGTTCAGAAATAGTTGAAACATTTTATAGTCTGGGGAAAAATAATAATACGTAAGATGTTGACTCGTACTGCAACATAGCATAACTGAATGTTATTTATAATAGAAACTACATTACATGTAGGTTACTTCAGGACGCAAACTTGTCATGAATTGTTTTTATCTGGAAATACCAACTTCTGAATCCTGTTTTTCCACATCAGCCCGCCAGTGAAAATATACAAGGAGGCCTTACTCAACTTAAGGTACAGCCCAATTTGCACTGAATTAGACTTTTAACATATATCTGTACACAACATTGAGTTGACAACAACCATTTCAGGAGATGATGATGCGGTATGTTCCTATCTTGGAACTGGGTATCACAAACGTAACTGTTACCTTGAACACAAATGCATGCCTACAACCATCGATGCATTGACATTCAAGTCTGATGAAAGCAATCTTCAATCAATTGCCTGTGTCCAACTTGGCGTGACGTCCTTAAGCGTGGGGCGAATGAACGGTGACGGCCTGTGGGGTTGTGCCGAGCATTAAACCGACCAATAGTTCACTGGTTAACGTTATTACGTTGTGAACTCTGGCATTCAACATGCAGACAGCATGTTTAAACTCCCCTTACATGTATCTGTGTCTCTTCATTTTATTGAAAAGTGACTAACAATGTCACACCAGCACTTTGGATGCATACATCGCCCATGCAATGCTTAAGAAAGGTCTGTGTTGAAGTGTTTGTAATATAATGTGTCCCAGTTCGGAAAATGACTGGATGTCAGCACGTTTTCACGATGACAACAGTGATTGGGCATATCTATTTCAGGAATTAGAAATTGACATGGTACTGTCATGGAAAATCGCTCTGAAATTACTTTATCAATATCATTTACAATTGACAGTTAAGTGTTGATTTTTCTAAATACTGTTCTAGTTATATGATGACTCAGGGGTGATATCGTGATCCATACGTGCAAACCATGGTGGTATTATTAGGGAGTCATTGTCAGATGAAGAAATGTTGCTTACTGAAATGTCATTTACAGTTAAATCACTGTTCTGTCGTACAAGTGGGCTGTAATATGCCTCAGTCTGTGGTCGTCGACCTGCAGAAGGATCCATGTCTTCCTCATAGATTTCATTGTAGCTGTTCCTACGGTACTGAAGTGGAACATTGTCTGCCGATCGCCCTGGATTTTCTCGCGCTCCTGTCGACATTTTGCATACTCTAAAGAAAATAATGACATATAATAGACCCTTAGAGGATGAAAGGGTTTTGATGATGTAGGACATGTCGGTTTGTTTCTTTAGCAATAACTTAATGTTTGAATAGAGGCTGATGGGAAGTGGAATATAACAGCCTAATTCAAGGAGGAAGGTAGCATACTTTGATTATAAGACGGGCTGTTACACAAAGTACAAAAGTATCTACAAACAAAATATCTGTGTTGTAAACTAAATGTGCACACGATATTTATACTCAGTAGAGTAAGGAAGTACACATATACATGTTATGAACGCCCATACGACATAATCTGTAGTATCTGTTTTTAGATAGTGGAAATCATATTTCACGCCTGCCACTCACAACCATACGTTGTGAAAGGCGACATAAAGACGCTGTATCACTTTCCTGTTTGTGAGGAAATCACTCTTGAAACTTTTATTAAAAATTAGATGATGGATTTTAAGAAAAAAAAGCAACATTTTTATCTTCCTTCGATTATGACGAAATTGTTGCCAAATGTGATCAATCTCTATTTTCTAAGGCCAAACACAAGTAGGTCTTAAGGAATAACGTGGTGTTTTACACCTTGTCCTCTTGTCGACATATCATTTAGAAACAATATCTTTAGGTGTCATGTTGTGTAATATGAAAAGCTTAACAAAAGAATATAAGTCTCAGCTTATTTTGAGTTTGTAAACAAACGATGACCGGTCGCATACGTCAAATACGTGACGCAGAGGACAGTGTACAGTGTACAGCTTATGTCTTGAAGTATTTGCATTGTGTTGTACCTAAAACTTCGATCTACTATTCTAGTAACAAAACATACGCCTGTTTCCGAAATACACCAAATACCATATGCTACTCATTGAAAGTAAATCACCGTGTCCAGCTTCTGAAATCAGACATCCAAAGTATTCAAATATTCTATCCACTACATACATAAGGCGTAAAAGGTCCCTCAATTTCATTTTCGATCTCGCTGCCGCCCTAATAAGATATGTGCCAAAATCCATTGACCAATAGGATACCCTTCTTGAGTTGGGGCTAAACATACCTTTTTTATGATATGACCTTTGAGAATGATCTTTACTTGACTGATCGACATGTCAAAAGAGTTGAGGTGAAATGGGGTTTAACGTCGCGTTAAAGATTATTGCACTTATATAGCGACGTACATGCGCGTGTATCTGTGTGTGGAACATGAATACCCAACTCAGCTGCAGTATACTGACACCGAGCCGACCAGTCCTTGTTTAAGCCCCGCATGCCAAGCGCCAGTCAGGGTAACAACAAGTACCATCTGTTAACGACTTTTGGTATGACGCGGCCGGAAATCGAACCCCGGACCTTCCGCTCTCCGGGCGGACGCTCCACCACTAGACCACGGAGGCGGTCTCATGTCACAAGAAATCCAGTGCTATAAAGTTAGCCTACGATATAACACCCACAACTGTGGTCAAAACCAAGTAAAGCCTTAAAAAAATCTCCATTTAGATCGCGCTGCTTAAAATGGCCCGTAAAGGAAGGCAATATAGTCAGTCTATTGACTATCAAACGTTTGAGAATTAAAGAAACATTGTTTTATCACTTTTACACAATAGACATTCATGAACATGCCATTAGTATCTTCATTGCTCTTCAGAATACACACCAGATGTGTCGTATGCTTACCTATGGCTAAGTATGCAGATCAGAATCGCCGCAATTCCCCCGAAGACAATAAATCCGATCAAAAGTGGGTACATGGCTGACTGGGGCGATGGGACCTTGGAAGCAGGAGCATCTGAAACATTACCATAGCTTAATAATCCATTTGAGAATGAAGTGAAGCTATTGGATTATTTGCATTTTTGTTCAGAAATCTGCATTTGTCGACTGATTCTGTGTATAGGCATGGTCGACAGTACATCCTTCTTATTGTATGTACCCATTTGTATGTCCTGTACGTTCTGTGGAGGATTACATCATGCGGTTAATACACACACCTTGTCCGAGGCAGCCAGAATTGAAAGATACATACCAACTGTTGTCACTTGGAGAACGTCAATACAGTGTCCACCATTGCGTTCACAAAGGCCTGACTGGCAGTTAGTGCAGGTCTGTTTGCAGTGTACTCCATAGAACCCGTCCTCACATTCAAAGCACAAACCAGTTTTCATGTCACAAAGGTCATCTTTACAGTTGTAGCATCGCAAATGACACGTTTCCTTATAGTACCCCTCAATACACGCCATGCAATGACCTGTTGTTTGATTACATCTCATACCTTTGCATCTGGAGCTACAGCCATCTGTACATTGTTGACCTTTGAATCCATTCTTACAGCCATTCAAACAGCTGCCGGTGTCTTGATCGCATACAGGTGTACATTCCCCTGCTGCACTGATGTCAGGCTGACAAAATGGAAAACAATTTTCTGAACAAGGCTTGTCACATTTGTTTCCGTGAAACCCATTTATGCATCCTTCAACGCAACCTGAAATTAAACACTTTCCAACACAGTTCGTGCAGTCAGTTTCACAGTTCTCCCCAGTGTAATGGATGTCACATTTCTGACATATCCCTGAAGTGACGTTACAAAGTCTGCATCTAGGCACTAGGTTATCAGAGCATTGTTTCTTGCAGACACCATTCCTGTAACATCCTTCAGGACATGTATTCGGGCATTCATTCTCACAATATTCGCCTACATGGCTTTCTTTACACTCTATACAATTGCTTGCATCTCGTTTGCTACATTTTAAACAGTTTGATATGCATGGAATGGTGCATAGTCTCCCCGAAAAGCGATCTTTGCAGCCATTTTTGCAACCAATGTCTCCTTCAGTATTAACTGTACAACTTCCAAGAAGACAGTTATTAACAGTTGAACAAGCCGTTGTGGCTGTCGTAGTCGTTGTACATATTGGATCCGTGCATTTTTCACCGATATATATGCCTGAAACGGGTCAAATGGGATCATCAAACTGGGTTTACTCATACTAATATAAATACAAAATTTACAGAGGCTATAGTTCACGTATATGCAACGCCATAACTACGAACACTCTGACGATGCCACTTCCGGTTTTGAGAAACATATTCCTGTTGCTATGAGAACAGAAACCCCTTGTTTCTATACTCATGTGACCTGTCATTTGACCGACACCAAATTATACATAGTATATTATTCCGGGGTAGAATAGGTCTTCAGCAACCCATGCTTGCCGTAAAAGGTGACTATGCTTGTCGTAAAAGGCGACTAACGGGATCGGGTGGTCAGATTCGCTGACTTGGTTGATGCATGTCATCGATCCCAATTGCGTGGATCGATGCTCATGATATTAATCACTGGATTGTCTGGTCCAGACTCGATTATTTACAGACCGCCGTCATATAGCTGGACTATTGCTGAGTCCGGCGTTAAACAACAAACAAACAAACAAAACAAACACATATAATATATTAATTTATCTGCTGTTATTAGTCTGGAACCGATTCACTTCGACCTTTAAAACCAATAGAATTGTGGATTTATTTTCCTTGATTAAAAGAAGAATCCAACATGACGGAAGAAAGAAAATGTTGAAAGATTGTTTTGATAACTGGATAGGTACAGAATATGGAGTTTTGGAAGACATGTTCCAAAAAGATGGCTAAAGTGTTTCACCACCTGTGTGGTTGCCAAACCATTCGGTTTATTGTCAAGAAACTTGGTCAAAACTTGATTGGCATTTTTTGTTCCTGTAGTATGAGTTAACGCTGTTATTGAGTTAGCAGTGTTGGCGATACATAATGATCATGCCTTTTAAAATGAACTATTCATTGGTTAAATCCCTTTAGTTAACTGACCAATGTATTTGTACTCATTGAAAGTATGACAAACATGGGACTGATTTACCAGATAATACATAGTAACACTATACTGCATATGATATCACTAAAAGTATCCCCACAACTAAACATCTTAGAATATTTTGCCTTTAAAATAGAAAGTGGTGCCCGTTCCGGTCAAAGTATCCACCTCCGCCTAAGGTTCAGATGCAATGATTTAAATGCACATAGATATCACAGAGATTCTGGAATTGATGACATGCTCTTGTTGATACTATTACGAGGATCCTGCACATTAATTCCTTTCATATCCCAAATATTGTAATCTTCGTCATGATATGAACTACTGCATAAAATGATATGACTTGGATTCAGTATTGTATGGAAATTCCAAAACATCCCCTGCATCTAACCTTGCTATTATTCAATGTGTTCATTTGTTTATTGTAAAGTTTGAAAGATTAAAAATTTAAATATGTGTCTTCTTAACAATTACATCAATTTAATAGTGTTATATATGTGTGATATATGTGTGACAGTTATATAAATTTATTATTTTATTTATAATTTATTCTTATTAATTGTGAGTGAGTGAGTGAGTGAGTGAGTGAGTGAGTGAGTGAGTGAGTGAGTGAGTGAGTGAGTGAGTGAGTGAGTGAATGAGTTTATGCTTTACGTCACATCGGCAGTATTTCAGACATATCGTGATGATTATTAATTGTGAAATGTCCTTGGAGGGAGAGGTCTTGAAATTGGCTTAACCTGTTCACCGATCCTATATCCCTTTTCGGAAATAAATATTGTTTAAATCACAAACATAGCAAGAATATAACCAGCGGCTATTCTAGCATCAAAGTTTAAAAAAACCTCTTAATGATAAATATAACTTTATTGGTGTCGGGTTTTTTCAGGATGTCAAACAAATAAAACCCTGTCTATTCGTTTCCTTTGTTGCAACATGCTTTCGTTCAGTGTACCCGTGATATATTTTCACATTGTGATTTTAAAGATTCATACCCGTATTGAAGATGATTGTGAAGGCAATATAGATCCATATCCGTAAAAAGGTTCCTGAAAGAGAAATAAAATAATATAAATCTATTTTGTCTATACAATAACCTTTCATGGCCAAATTACTGTTTTATAGTCATATACTTAATCACATATTTGAAGCATTTTGAGAATTAGTGTAAACTTTCTCTGTACAATCTGAAACAGTTAAAAATCAATAGTTATTTCACATAAAGCCGCGTCGGGTATTACCGAGCAAAATTTTATTTCCGTGTATATTTTAAGACATCGTCCATCATTACAGCTATTGGTATGCGCATCCTATTAAAACTTAACTTCTTCTTCCGGAAGACATATCGCTAGATACGCCGAAAGTCTATAAAAAACAAAGGAGAAAAATATCCGAAGTCAGACACCGGGCATGACATTCATGCACATGTTTCGAAGATTGACCATGAAAATGTTGTGATAATAAGTTTGGTCAATACTGGGATGTTCTTTTACAAACTTAACCTCCAGTATATTTTCTTATCTGGCATCGTCCAAGAGCATAAAGCATTCTTTCGATTGTTCAATGGGAAATATATAGTCGGTTTAACATTGTTTCGTCTTTTCGGCAAATTCCAAACAAAGCCGCTTCATCGCACTTCACAGGCTTCAGCGGCAATCTTTGTTAGTAAACTCACTGTTATTTTCCTTTAAATATCGGAAAACGATTGCATAAATGCAGCCAACATGTGTGGCTGACTCAAAGTCCGTGCATTTCGGAGATTTTGATTTTCGCACTTTATGTAGAAAACTCGTGTTAAGACCAAAATTCAGGCAAAATGCACACGAGAGGTATAAAAGGCGAGCACATCGATGGGAACGTGTCACAATTGAAAAAAGAACGCTCCAAGCATGTCCTGATTAACTTGGTGACAGTGACTCGACTTCTCCAGATGTAAAACGAGACAGGACACCCTAGGGACAGGCCTAGGAGTGACAGACCACGCGTTACACACTCCCCCTCCCTCCCCTCTCTCTTTCTGACATTTCCCTTTATTTTTTTGTGCTCCTCATAATAAAGAAGTGTTTCGTTTTTTTATAAATATTTTTATTTCAATTCATAATAAGGAAGTTGGGGGGTGTGGGGGTGGGGGTGGGGCAATTTCTGTATATTCCATTTAAAATTATTGAAACGAAAGAACGGAATGAAAAGCTGAACAGAATCTGACTTTTAGAGGAAAGGCAATTGATTGGACAAAAGTAATTTACTTCAGTCAAGAAACAATTAGCTATGACATTAGTTATTGCTGACATATGAAACACGTCTTTTTAATAAGAAACATGTTTCTCTTTAGGATCTCTAGAGAACACTTATAATTTGAAAAGTGAACTTTCCGCACCTGACCTACGTATAACTTATTCAAAGCTAAATGAAATAAATGAATAAATAAATAAACTTTTATTGCTAGAGACCACTGTGCAGGAATGTATATTTGTGTGTATTTGCAAGAAAGGGGACATTATTATTTTCCAACAATCAATACATATGCAATATTGTTAAGTAAAACGGGGGTTTGATTATGTTTTTGGAGAAAATCCCGTCCCTCTCCGCCCCCGAGAATCAAATGGTGGCTCCCTTATGACCCTAGATGTGTTTGAGACAGGTGTTTGATAGTAAAAGCAGGTCATTACTGAAATCGGAATTTCGGATACCTGAGCTATTACACCCTTCGAACGAACTGTATTATGTAAGTTTCCGACACAGTAACAGTCAAGTTAAGAAATTCCGGGGACTTTCGTTTCCGATTGAATACATAGAATATGATGAAAGCAAACGATATCATCGTATATCAATGCTACTTCAGCCATAAACATGGCCAAAGGTGTTCCCGAGTGTTATTAGGAATAGCATCACATAGGTGTTCAGCCAAACCGACAAGGGCAAAACGTGAGGACAACGCAAACTATCGATCTGGAACAAGTGTGAGGGACCACAGAAACACGTCTTTATATGCGAATATGATTCACATTGAAAGGTTCGATGTATACAGTAGTTGTTTTTCACTTTAATCAGAACACAGTAGAAATGAGGTTGGGTGTCGCTGTTCTGAAATGCCCGACACTGTTCTTCATGAGAATTTCGAAAAAGTGACGTCTCCCAATTCATGTATTTTGTTTCAGTTTTTTCTCGCTTGAACTGAAATATGTGTTGGAAAAACATCATTTGTTCTTCATGAGCGGGGCGGTCGGGTAGCCTAGTAGTTAAAGCGTTCGCTCGTCACGCCGAAGACCCGGGTTCGATTCCTGACATGGGTACAATGTGTGAAGCCCATTTCTGGTGTCCCCCGCCGTGATATTGCTGGAATATTGCTAAAAGTGGCGTAAAACCGTACTCACTCACTCACTTTTCATGAGAATTTCAAAAGTGATATCTCCTAATTCATGTATTTTGTTTCAGTTTTTTCTCGCTTGAACTGAAATATATGTTGGAAAAACATCATTTGGTACTATTACAACTACAACTACAACAAAACACTTACATTTTATGCAACCGCTTCTTTCTGTGGACGAAATCGATCTGAAGTTAAACGGGAAATAATCTTTTGACCGTCTATTTGCTGACATGAAACCGAATGCGTAGTACATTTCCGTGTATTTGCTTCAGGTTTATTCTTCCCGTTCATCGATTGTATAAATGTTTGTACGTAGAAGTTTACATGTTTGTACGTACAATCCCTAAGCCAAAACACAACTCACAACTTTGATAATCGTAAAGATGATAACAAGCATCAGTTTTGACTCAGTTACTTACGAGTGTGACATTTGACAAACTAATGACCATGTCAAACAATTTCCGATGTAATACTCTGTGCAAGGCTTATTTTCTAATTACCTACATGCTTTATGTCTTTTGAATGTGGAACCAATACATTTTTCTTGCTTACAGCGTATAACAGGAATGGAATTACATCGACTGCTTGCAATAAACATATACATGTACCTACAAAGTGAGTATGTTTGAACGTATTGTATCATTGGTACAAATAATCTGACAATTCAGCTCTCCTGAAAATATGTAAACTCATATACTAACGATAGATGGGGAAGGGGTTTGTATGAGATATTTTAAGTTATCTTAAGTATGTGTATGAAGATTGTTTGCATCGGATAATTCAAATTATTATAAGGATGTGTATTACCACTATCTAAATTATTCTAAGACAAATACTTTTTTATTATCTTAATATTGCCCAAATGGGAAACAGCGGGTGGTGCGTGTAAATGGTACTGCGCTCTACCGCGCCAAACTTTGCTGTAGAGGCATAGAAGGTACTCAGTCAGTCATCGTATTCACCGTTTCGCATACACTATGTACATAATAATATGTTATTGCATCTAACATTTTAAGCACAAATGGCTAAAACGTTTATCTATAACAAACCATCTACACGTAAATGTGCTATTCCCCTTTTTCCCTACATAAAAGGTTACATCTGTGGCGATTTGACTTTCAAGTCATATCAGCAATGTATTGACTTGTCGATGGAACACACCCATTACAAAATCACAGCAGCAGACATCCTTAAGAGCTCAAGGCCGCCTCCGTGGTCTAGAGGTAGAGCGTCCGCCCGGAGAGCGGTAGGTCCAGGGTTCGATCCCCGGCCGTGTCATACCAAAACACGTTAAAAGATGGTACTTGTTGTTACCCTGTCTTGCGCTCGGCATGCGGGGTATTCATGTTAAACTGCGGTATGGTATCTCAGTGAGCTAGCACTATAAATCGGCATCAGTCCGGACTAGTACAAGCGCGCACACACACACACACACACACACACACACACACACACACACACACACACACACACACACACACACACACACACACACACGTACATGCACGTCGCTATATAAGTGCAATAACCTTGGTTGCGACTTTAAACCCAATTTCCCCTCACCTCACTTAATAGCACACGCTGTTTTACATGAAGTTATAACTTTGTAATAGGACTACTTGGACTTTTTGGATATGGAGACGAGTTCAGGTGGAAATTCGTGACGTTTTATGTCATATGTATTATGGTTATCAGAGTATGGTAGATTGGTGTATTCGTGCTATTTCTAATCCAACTTTTATATTACATTTTCTAGGTATCGCTATTGCTAATGGTATAGACTACCATTGCCTGTCGGTATCTGAGTCCGGGACATGTGAGGAATGTTATACTGGATGGTATGGTGATTACTGTGACAAGATGTGTCAACACTGTGACACGGGTGGATGTAGCAAAACAGGAGTTTGTCTTCAGTGTGAAGCTGGATATTACTCTGCAAACTGTTCACTGACATGTCCACCTCAGTGCAGAGAGAGCTTTTATGACCGTGTCTTCTGTAACCGTACAACAGGGAATTGTCTGGAAGGCTGTAAACCCACATGGTGGGGACCTAAATGTGAACACAAGTGTGGAAAACAGTGTACTCATTCAGTTTGTAAATTTTATGATGGTTCTTGTGACAGTGGATGCAAGGACGGGTTTACCGGGTCGCGTTGTCACAAAACCTGTTCAGTGGGATGTTTCCATGGCAAGTGCATTCAGCTGACGGGTGTGTGCCTTCATGGATGTAACACTGGCTTCTATGGGCACTCCTGTGATAGACACTGTACTGATAAATGCCTCGATAGAGAATGCAGTACAAGGATTGACGGAGGCACTCCTACCTGTACCCACGGCTGTGTACCTGGCTGGAAGCCTCCCCTCTGCCATATCCCTTGCCTACCTAACTGTTTATCCTGCATTGAAGCTGGGGTGTGTACATCCTGCAAGGCAGGGTTCACAGGAACAAGCTGTGAGAAGAAGAAATGCAACTGTCTAAGTTCCGGTTGTAGCGAAGACAAAACTTGCAATGGATGTCTTGATGGGTGGAAGGGACAGACATGTGAGTTGACCTGCTCTCAAAACTGCCTCAAATGTCAACAGAATAGTGGGAACTGCATAACATGTCGCCAAGGTTTCACATATGATGGAAGAAGTCGATGCACCTCCATGATCGATGGTAACGGAACCTCTCAATGTATGTGATATGCTAGTATTGGTAGTTTGAATGTATATCGATTTACATGTTATACGCACAGGGGAAGTTAGCTATAATAATAATATAGGACATGTTGGTTCAAAGTTGCATTGGTTTACTTTCTGGGTAAAGAAAAGGTGACAATTGTCCATTATAATACAAACGTGATGATAACCGTAGATATTTAATCACTAAACATCGAATATATACAAAATTGAGTTATTTATTAGGATCTAGTAGTTTTTATTATAACACACTTAATAAGTATTAGCAGGTATTTCAGTTGCTTTAAGTTGGAAAGAAACTATTATTCATAAACTGAATGTCTAAGAAACACATTTTTCGTCACCCACACAAATACATTTTAATTGTCACAAATACAACACCCATGGTATATATACATGGTCGTGATAGTACTATCACGTGATCTGTAGAAGACATAATTTGTTACAGATGTATTTCTAAGCATGATATTTCCTTTCATATAGCCACAATCACCGACGTCCCACCTCAAAGGCAAGAATCACATGTTGCCATTGCGATTATTTCAACCATAGTCTGTCTACTTGTAATCGGAGTTTTAATCGGGATCTCTATCAGGTTAGTTGTTGGATTATTTTCTTTAACTGACAAACACGTATTCCAGTTTTCTTCTGTGGCATACATTTTAAGCTTTTATAAATTAAATATCCTTATATGCCTGGAAATGTGTTTTGAAACCGATGGAGTGGACAAGAAATTCATCATGCGTTTTTGAACCAATCAAACAAACTTGTATATGTGTTTGTATCACTCTGCAGTGTAAAGTATCTCAAGGATACTGTAGGAAACTCTGAATTAATTGTCATTACACTTTACATACTGACAAACGTTGGTTGCTCTGTCACACTCGGTGTTGCAGATTCCGAGGACGCATCCTGTCATGCTTTAAACACGCCGAGAATGGAAATGCTCCTGATAATAAGGTAATGTTTAATCTTCTGAATAATAGTTCCTTCTGACGCTGTGTAATGAAAGCGAAGTGATATTGTCCAATTTTGTTATTTGTTATTGTCGAATTTCTTGGAACGGCAGTAGAGTGGTTCACTGGACTCCTTACGGTGTCGTCACTTTATGGCTGACACAATGACAATGCGACGTTACACTGCCACTCAGTCATTCACTCCTAAAAGTGTAATGACAAAACCATAGAGACACATTTACAAATTGACGAACAGGGTAACCAGAAAATCATCAAAACATAATCTTACTTTTGTGATATACCACGATATTAATTTGTATCTAGCAAAGTCAACATCATCAAACTCTAAATACTAAAATATTCATTAATTTGATTTTATTGGTTTTACGCTTAAATAACGTTGTTAATTGTAAGCATATTGATTTTTTTTTCTGAGTATTCACAAGCAGGAACGTATGACAATCAATGCATCAATCGGTCAACTGATGTTATGTCAATAGTTCGTTTTTGTCATTTGGCGATCTCAAGGATCGAAAAAATAATGTTCACATCATGTTTTGGTTCTCTTTAGAAAATGCAATGAATCAAGTGTTCGCGTATAACTAAGATGCGGACGATTTTTTAAGCTTGACGCAAATCAACATATAAACAATCGTGTTTAAGGAAGTGACATAGCACTAAGCTCCCATTCGGCTTTGTCGTAAGCAAAATACGACGTATCGTAAAACGAGAGTAAACGACATTAAACGCCGTTTTTTGAACGATCTGACTTTACTCACGACACCGCTTCATATAGGCAATAGGTTGATTTAGAACATAAATCATATCGGCCATTTCCTACGGTGCCTTATAACATCTATGGGGAACAACTCACAAGACACTTCCCTCTTATAAATAACGCCGTCCAATTTACGAGGTCAGCAAGTTGTGAGCGCATGTTCGAATCTCCAGAAATGACGTCTTGATAGAACAATGTTTTATCGTGAAATAAGCCAAGCTTTGTTCTTCTTTGTTCTTTGCGATTTATGGCGTAGCTATTTTATGCATAAATACAAATGATTGCATCAGCAAAAACATACAAGCAGACATCCTTAAACAGTCCATTTTCCATATGTTGTAGGAGCCGGAATTGTCAGCAGCCGACTTGCTCGGACAAGATCGCGAGCAACAAGAAGATGTATCGTTGAATAATGTGTGTTAATTATTTCCAGCATTGGCATTAGAAGGTCTATCTTGAGACAATCGAGAGTTCTAATATGTCAGGGTCGATCGAGCATACTAGTATATGCTTTTAATGTAAGCTCTTTTCATCAGCACAAACATGTGATTTTGATATATCTCAGAATTGTGCAGAATTGACAAGTGCATCGTATATCATGTGTGGTATTTCTTACACCTTAATTCCCAATGGCAATAGTAATGGTTATTGTATTGCATAAAGACCCCTTTGTGGAGACCTTTAGAGTTAAACATGCGACTTAATAAAAGTACTTGACATGTTGATACATCACATGTATGGTTATATTTACTGTTCATGTATTAGCTTCCTGCGTGATTTTAATGTTGAATCTGTGTGTATCCAGATTAATACTGTGGTGACGGTATACACCAGACCTTCAGCTGCCTCGAAAAACTTGGGTCTACAGAACATATGGAGTTATCAGGAAACAAGAGATATATTAATATTTGAAATATGAGTACAACACTATATATGACTAATGCGTTTAGTTTATACAACACCAATACTCGCTGCAAGTAATCAGTGCATGTTAACAACACAGCTACATATACTGGTTCAGCGTGTACTTGTTGCCATATTTATCGACAAGAATCATCTGTCTATGGTAGTCTAGTTTTTATTATATAACACAAATACTGAAAACAATCAAATTTAAAATTTTACATGCTGCACTGATTCCTGATTTTGTATCTACAAGCAAACTATTGTCATATATATCTCAATACCAACGACTGCGCATAACACAAATGAAATAATACACCTTCTTGGCGTAAGAAGTAAGGAAATAAGAATTATCCGACCGAGGCTTACACTCTTAGCAAAAACACATGTTACTACATGCATGTCCATAAGGTAAGTGCCAGCTCATGTCAGTAGACGTCCATCAACATAACGATCGATCTACGTATGTACAACTGCAGTGTTCGTGTTCCCTTCGCATAACATATATGCACGTTTTGAAAAGGGAGAAATACTCAGCATATATGATCAACTATCAAAGTGACCACTGACAAAACATACTCTTGGGGAGCATATTACGTCTTTTTTTTATTTTACATGAACATATTTGAAGATGGAATTAAAATATGCCGTATGTATGCCGTGATTTAACATAGTATTTAAGATCTTCTACATATCCAATGAGTATTATCACCTTAATGACGGGTACTACAATGTACTTACATTCATAACAGTATCCTTTCTAGAAGTGAGTGTATGTTAGGGTATCCATATCCACTGTTTGTAAAACATGCCAATAAGCAGGTATCGACCTGCTGTCCTGTTGTACCCTATATTACCGTCACCGTCGTGACACCTGATTTGTTACCAGTTGGATTGTCCACCAAAACAAAAACACCACTGGTGCAAATTATCCAATTGATTTTCTTTTTTATTTGTTTTATTTTCAGTTATGTGATTCTTCAACCGACATTTTCGGTTGATGTATATATATTTTGTTTATGTGTTTCGAAAGTTCAGTTTTTGTTTGAAATGTTTTGTCTGTGAGTGAAATTACATTCTTTCTCTCTGTAGTTTTCATTCATTTTTTCTGTTATCAGATTTTGGTTAAATCTGGTGCATTTTAGCATTGCAAATCTTTACTTCGCGTGCAAGACCCCTGACGGCCTTTGTGAAAAAAAACATTCTGTAAAGTGAGTGAGTGAGTATGGTTTTACGCCGCTTTTAGCAATATTCCAGCAATATCACGGCGGGGGACACCAGAAATGGGCTTCACACATTGTACCCATGTCGGGAGTCGAACCCAAACCCTGGGCCAGTAATATGGTAATTTGAAGATTGGTCATCAAAGGACAAGGTTGATCTACTTTGCACTGAATTTCATTCACACGATATTATTCACTTGACCGAAATTTGGCTGCATGACGGCATACCTACTGTTGGTATTTCAATTCCAGGCTTTCATTTGCCAATTAGAAACGATCGACCAAGTCGAGGCGGGGGTGTAGCTATATATGTAAAACGAAATGATATGCTAACAATATGGATCATCTGTGCATAAATGGACTCGATTCATTATGGGTAATGTCAAGGGCCATTCTATAGGGCAGATAAAAGCGAGGCTTTCTGGCGGTTAACAGATCAGTCAATATATATGTAACGCAATAGATTTGAATATAACAACTATTACAGATGGGGAGTTTAATCTAGACATTCTGAGAGAAAGTAAGAACAAAATACATCACTTTCAAGCAATATATGGGTTGACCCAAATTATTACTGCGCCAACCAGGATTACACCTACCTCCAGAACTTTGATTGATTTATTGTTTGTAACTAATGTAGAGTGTGTGGAATTCGGGTGTATCCGATCCTATATGCAGTAACCATTGTCCTATATTCGTAGCAACTAAGGAAGATATACATAGCAATGCAAATTGTAAAAGAAAAATCTTAAATTACAACATGGCGAATAATGAAAACTATATTGATAGCTCAACTGAGACAAAGTTGGGATCATTTCTTATCATCCAGAAATGTTGATGTTATTGCAGAATGTTTTACCCGGACAATTATTGACGTGTGTAATACTCACATTCCTAAATCAATTGTGACAAAGAGACCTAATGATAACCAGATCCACTTGCTAAATTGTTTAATATATCCCTGGACAAGTCTACTTTTCCAGTAAGTTGGAAGGAAGCTTCCGTAATGCCTAGATATGTAATATCAATGAATGTAGAAATTATAGACCTATAGCTCTCACGTGTTGTGAGGTATTCGAAAAATGCGTTTTTAAATATGTTTGAATTACTTAAGAGATAATAATTTGCCTACAAATCTTCAATCAGGGTTCTTGTCAGAGATTTTACCGCTAATAAGCTAACTTACCTACCTACCTTTATTGCTAGAGAATTGGATAAAGGCAAAGAAATTAGAGCAGTCTTTTGCGACGTTTAGGCCTTTGATAAAGTTTTACATGGAGGTATTATCCATAAACTCAAATCGTACGGTATTGAAAGGGAAATTGTTAAGATAGTTTGAAAGCTACCTAAAAATAGATGTCAAGGGGTTGTTATCAATGGGTACAGTTCTGTCTTAGAGTTCCACAAGGGTCATTCTCGGGACCTCTACTGTTTTTAAGTTTTATAAACGACATTGTAGACGATATTGATCGTAGATTGTTTGCAGATGAAAGAGCCCTATATGTCGTGGTAAATGATCCACATACAGCAGCACATTGTCTGGGTAAAAAGAAAAAACACTGGTAATTATGTATAAATATTTATTATATTATTATCAAGTTTCTTTAATGTCATTTATGTAATGAATGCTATTTTTATGTCACTTTCATTACATTGTTATTTGTATACATATATGTATATGCATTCAGATAACCGGGTATGCTCGTTTGCCATCCCTCCACTTTATGGAAATAAATATGTCTACTACTTATGAGGGCCGGGTGAAAAGGTCTTTGGTGGACTGCGTTGATCATAAAGGAGTTGGTTGCTAATTATTCAAATTAACATTTTCCCCTTCGCCATCGATGCTGGAGTGGCGGCACCCTACTGATGTAGAAGACTTCCTCCTACTGGTGTACAACGCCCACCACAACAGAAATGACGCCATCGTCATTTGCATAATGCTTGCTAGACAGGTTTTTCTTCGAACTGGATGAGAGGTGGAAATCTGACGATGCCAAATATGGAGGATGATCAATGTGTTTAACACCACAGACATGCATTGCAGCCATGGTGACAACATTCTTGTACGCAGGTGCATTGTCCTGGGGAAACAACACACCTTTAGTGATTTTTTTGTTTCAAACGACGTTCAGCCTTGACATATTCATGCAGTTACTTAAAGGGACATTCACACGGTACAACTATTTATATACAATTTGTTACATGGGGACCCTCAAATCGAACCAAAGCATGTAGCTTGTTGGACGTGAGTTGTACGAAATAAGACATGCTCTATTTTCATGCAACAGGTTGTACGCACGCAGCGTTTAAAAAACTTACGTGCTATTTACGCGTAAATTAGTAAAATCAAAAACAAAAATGGCGACAGCAACTCACGTCAGTAACTTCTGCTCTGCGGTATCCACACTCAAATAAGGACTCATGAAACGTAGGTACGTACATTAACCTTGTAACATGTGTAAGTTTGAACCATTTGCATCAGTGCACGTCTCTTGTTTAAACGTTTTGTTTAACGACAGACTATGTGATAGTACACTGCAGATGAGATAAGGTCCTTTACTTATCTAAAACTCGAAACACTTCATGCACACAAATACACTTGACAGTTGTAGATACTGCGCGTAATAATATTCTGTTATATCAATAACAGTTATTTTGCTAAAGCATAAAAAAAAAATTAAAAAATCGAAACGAAAAAAAAGAAGTTTTGTTTTGCGTTTGTCGGTATTGAGTGAGTGAGTATGGTTTTACGCCGCTTTTAGCAGTATTCCAGCAATATCACGGCGGGAGACACCACAAATGGGCTTCACACTTTGTACCCATGTCGGGAATCGAACTCGGGTGTTCGGCGTGATCAGCGAACGCTTTAACCACTAAGCTACCCGGCCGCCCCTGTCGGTATTGAGACGCCTTTGACATCACATATATTTCTCATTCAGCTACGACATATACATCCCTGAATTCCTCATACCAATGCATTGACAAAATTTTAATTTCCTCAGTCACGGGTCCAAATAAAATCAACCGAAATAATCAACCCTGTGCTCCTAAACCTACCAGTACTTACTCGCTTGTAAACATCCAGATTTAGACATTAGCATTTTCTACTATTTCAAGACATACAGTCGTCGATATGTTGCATACATTAGCTCAGTTTATTGCGAATATGCATGGGGCGATAATCGTTGCAAGAATTGAGGAATTGATTATAAGATACTTTGACAATGATTTGGAAAATCAACAGAAATTGTTCCACGTGACGCCATGGCTGACGCAAACTCACGATAATATATTCATGAACCATGGCCTATTCTCACACTGGACACTGGGTAATTGCTTACAGTTAAGCATAGTGGAGTTATGTCCCCTTTTCTGTGCACATGTGTAGACCTCTCCACCGTCATGGCGGAAAATTGAATTTCGCCACATACAAGAAGTAAGTTTTCGTATGGAATGTATCATGTTATACATGAGCACACAATGCTAATATACATGCCATTACCGACCCGTGAAGATTCCGGGGTAGAATAGGTCTTCAGCAACCCATGCTTGCCGTAAAAGGTGACTATGCTTGTCGTAAAAGGCGACTAACGGGATCGGGTGGTCAGGCTCGCTGACTTGGTTGATGCATGTCATCGATCCCAATTGTGTGGATCGATCTCATGATATCAATCACTGGATTGATTGGTCCAGACTCGATTATGTACAGACCGCCGTCATATAGCTGGAATATTGCTGAGTGCGGCGTTAAACAACAAACCAACCAACCAACCAACATGCCATTACCCCGTTCACATATTGGATAGTATTTTGTTCGCTCACATCTGACATGAAGCTGTCTAATAAAACTTTTAATCGCACCTTACGTTATCGGTGTACGATAAAAAAAGGAGGTTTTTAGAGGTTGATTTTCGCTACCAAGGCTATAATTTGGACAACATTTAGCACTCCGTCTGCTTTTCAAATTAGTTTGAAATTTTACACCACTTGATAGAACATTCAATACTATATAGCTCCATAAATAGCAAAGTCAGATGTTCGCCCAGTTGCCGCCCAACCGCAATTCTCGCACAACGCGCTTTTTTCATTATTCAGAACTTATAAAACTGTGCGTCTGAAAAGTTAACTCGCTACCAGAATTCCAACGGTAATGTAGTGAATCACTATTTTCCAAGCATTTAGTCAGAGATCTTGCGAGATCCGAGTTGGATGCAACTAGCCACCGTGTGCCGGAATGCCGAATTGTATCAACTTCAGTTCGTACAATTAATTGCGCAAAGTAGTTGTAGCGTGTGAATGCCCCTTAAGTACTAAGATTATCCTAATATTGGCCATTAATATCTGACCTTTCAGGAGGTTACCCGTGTTCCGGGGTAGACTAGGTGTTCAGCAACCCATGCTTGCCGTAAAAGGTGACTATGCATGCAGGCAAGATATCCCATTTCTGGTCCCGGAGTTTCGTGCGGAACGCCATGGAACGTTTTTGACGTGACAACAGAATTATATCATATATTTAAGTACAGCCCTGAAATGACGTTTGAACGAGAATATCAGCAGAGGACACTAACGTCCCTTTCGAATAGGATAAAGGAATTAGACTAATTGATTGAAAAACAAAGAAAAATATGAAATGTGACATGAAACGAGAAAATGTATTGAGGGTATGAAAAATGCAATAAAAATGGCTTCTTTCGAACGAAATATATTGGAAATCGATATGTTTATTCATATACGATCTGCATAAGCGTTTACCAACCAGTAGCAAACTAAAATATATGTCAATAATACATGTAGATATGTGGTGAATACTGTAGTTATTTCTCCATCATGCAACTTACTAGAATTACCCTGACACAACGTAGTTTTCATTTGCACACAGACTAAAACGAGATTCGTTCGAAAAGCCTTCGATGTGACCATTCTCGATTGAGCATACAGGAAATTTAGCATGTGTTTCTTGGGAATCCTCGGGACGACCCCACTAACGATTTATATCTTACTTAGTGATAAGTCAATAAGGTTTCCCTTTGGAAGGCTAATCATCTATACACTTGCACATGTATTGCAAAATAATGTACGTAATTTTATTATGAGTTAATGCAATAACGACATCGCTTACCGGCACGTATAGGCTATCTCCGTTTTTAACATCCATAGCTCTTCAATCGACAACTACTCTCCGTGTACTCTGCTGGTTTTCTACTAAGCGTTTACACAGGTCTCCACGGTGTGTATATTTTCATTACCATGCTCTCTGAGGTTATCTTACCCCAGTCCACAGGTACGGCGTAACTACCACGTGTCCAGCACCGCAATTGATATGACCCATTCACATATATTGTGCATCTGCGTAACAGTAGTATATACTATATATATGTAAGTCGTAGGAAAAATTAACATTATGCTTTATCAACTAACAAATTAATTTATCAAACAATACTACCCACAGTGCCTTGGGTAATTGACCCACAATGCATTTCGGGTAGCACTTATTTTATTAGCCATATTGAAGAAGTTCCCACGCATGAATTACCTTGTTTACCCACCCACCTCCCTTCGAACAATCAGCATGTCATCTTTTATTACTTTCTTACCGTAGTTTGCCCACATATTTCCCTTCCACTTCATATCTTTGGGGACTGATTGCTGATTTGGGCCTCAGAAACTGTTTTGCCATACCAAATACCATCTCACATAAAGTTAGCCATTACCCATGAGTATGATGTTCGTGTCATGTGTGCAAATAATCTGTATTCATGAACTTTTCAAATCAGTGACCTCAGTACACTGGTATAGGTTAGCTGTCAAATTTGAGGGCACGGATGGCCCTGTCGTCTATATCGCAGTTTTGCTTCCTAGATAGGCGTTTCAGAATCCTAT